AGTATTCTTACCCGTAATATAGTATGTATTATACTATAATCCAGCGAACAACGTATACTTTGCCACTTAGGACGCTGACGTTAGGTACGGTGCCAGTTTATTTAATTTTTTGCTAAAGTTATAATTGTTTATTCATGTATAAAAAAAGTATTTTTGATGGAAAATTAGTCGTGGAATACGATAGTCATACTCAAAACACGCTAATTAGTGGGTTTTGTTATTGGAAATAAATTTAAACATTTTAATTGATTAGAAAAACATAAAATTGATTGCAACTTTTTTTTTATAAATTTTCCTCTTAAAATTTATGTTTTTACCGTAAAAATAACAAAAAATCAAATTTTTAGCTCCAATAAAGCTGGAGCTAGGAGTTTTTAAAAATTAGTCTCTAAGACAAAAAACTCGCTTTTATCGACTTTTCGATCGCTTGTATTATCTTAAATATGTAAACAAAAAAAACCTTAAACTTGCATTTTTTTTTTTAAGTATAATCCATAAAAAGAATTTCAGCTGTGTTGGAGATGTGTCGGTCCAAAAGTGCTCAGTTTGTGAAAGAATGACTCATATTTAAAAAAACCTGCAAAAAGTATTTAATATGTATAAACGACAATCTTACCTTTGAAAACAAGAAGACAGCTATGTAAATAAAGTTTTCCTCAATCTTAATCCGATAGAGTGGACAATTTTACTTTCATAGTAGCCAAAATTATAAAAAAAAATTTGATTGGTTGGATACAATAATTCAAACAAGAAATAATTGTACATATATGATGGCATACCAAACGCACAAATAAAAGTTTTAAACAAAAGAGATTTTTGTCTCGTAACTCTGGACAAAAGTACCTATTTTTGGAATGTTTTCAGGGTATTTCTTTGCTTCGTTCTTCATTACATAACCAATAATTCGTACAAATATCAAAATATATATCATAGCAATCATAGGAGTACTCAGAATTCGTGAATTACATGTAATATAAGTGTATGTATTTAATGCACAAACGTACTCGAATACGTAATTATAACGTTTTTACTATTTCAATATTGGATTCTTTGAGACCCATTGGAATAAGGTGTTATTAAATTCTCTAAGTTTCTGTTGTACCAAGTTTAATACTATTTCAATCAGAAGTCTCATTTCTGCCGGTGGTCCTAAGACCTACACCAGATTCTTTACTCTTTTCAGCAACACATTAAAAGTTTGTCAACCGAAGAAAAAAAATGAAACGGTAAAGTCTATAACATGATTTCAACCGTTATACAAACGTACATTTTGTGATTAATAGTGAGGCCTACACGTCCTGTTCTTAGTAAAAAGATTACATTGTTTTGCGGCATACAATCGTTTTAGATGACTTTATTCATGAACCCACTTTCACAGTGTTTCGAGAAGATTTGTTTAATACACGCGTCAAAACTTATACATCTTCTATTACAATATCGCTGCCAATAATTTTTATAAAAGCTATCTCAAGCTCTATTCTGATGCTTTTGTATTGGCATGTTATGATGTAGTAATTTTTTTAATAGAAAAGCTTATTTTAAATAAGAAATTTTCATGTGTGTAACAATTCTCATTTAACGCCGGTGGCTTTGGAATCTTAATTCAGAACCTTAACTGACCTTTGGGCTTAATTACCCATACATATAGATGTTTGAAATTAACCACCTAAGTTACATTGTGTGTCTTATGACTCCAGTGGTCATACAACCGTGAAGGCAAAAGTCGCGTTTGCTGTTAATAAGTACATTATTTTGATAATATGTATTGTCAGTCAGGTTAAACATATAATAGCTTAGGTGCTACAGCCTTCACAACGGTTTTAACTTGGTTTTATAGAGTTTTTTGTTAAAAATGGTTGGTAATGACAATTTCAACAATATCTAGTGGGTCTTTAGACTTGAAATCAACAGGAAAATTTATGGAAGCATGAAAGCTATGGAATATTTCAAAAATGCCTTGTTTCGTGCTCTTTTTGAAGAATATTTTTTTACGAGTCTCAATTTCATTATTAAGTTTAAAATTATTATCGACGTGATTAATCTATTTGTTCTTGATTAATTACAAGCGATATATATATTTCATTGGTTAAATAAGTCATCTGTTTGTGTCTTAATTACGTATAATTATATTATTTTACTAATAACTCTAATAACTGGTTTGTATAGGAACCACTATACACAAAAAAAGATGCTTGCATGTTACCCATTTGGTAAGATGACTTCTTCAGATTTCAGTTATTGCATGCACAGTCAGAAAAAAAACTGTCAAAAAACGTCAAAAGCATTCCGATTTGTGCATAAGGTTTGAGTTATGATCCAGGTATTTAAATTTTGTAATAATATACATTCTGTTATTTTTTGATAACATTTTATTTTTATATTCTACATAAAGAAATAAAAAATTTTAATTTTTNTGTAATGAAGATTAAATCGTAAATAAAACAAAAACTAAGTCGCGAATAAAAATGTAATATTCTCTTTATGATACAACATTAATGCTGGTTCTATTAAAATGTAAGTTACAGCAAGTTACTTAATAACGCAGCCCTGCATTCATATATTTTTTTTTATTATTAAAAGTATCATATTGAAAGACAATTGTTAGACATAATCTAAGTCTTGACATACCATTCTCTTGTCTATTCAATTCCTACGCACGAGTCATGTATGGGAGTGCCTTTTTATTTTGTCACAGTGAAAAGTGTAACCTCTTGTAAATGATCTACTTTTTATAAAAAAAAAATTAAATCTAGGCTGAGGGTGATCTGAGTTGGGCACGTAGTGTATCCTAGAAAGTACATTTATGAAAGTTACGAAGGTTTTCAACTTACTCAAGTAAGAACTTTGTAGCTTAAAGAAAGTTTTATGTATGAGGTACGGTTTACTTGTAAATAAGTTTCGAGTTCAGCGCTCTTGGATAAAAAAAATAGTTTTTTACTGACAACTGTTTTCACATACATTACACGCTCGCATTTGAAGATAGTTGTAGATCTTGTTACAAAACAACATTTTGTTTCATGCACTATGCTGCAAATCGTAATGCCGACGCCTTAAACACCAAAATATATGCAAAAACAGTGAAAAAACCATTTTGAGCCTGATAGAGACATAAATTTAAATTTTAAAATAGAATGTTAAACACACAACTTATAAGGCTCATTATTATAAAATTTTGTTCGTAAAGTAACTTTTTTTTCCAAAGTGCCCTCCTAACAATTCAGTCGGCAAAAATGGTTAAAATAAAGTCAAAAAATTGTTTAATATTATCTAATTTTTATGTATCACATTTTTAGGCAAAATGTTAAGTATAAGATTAATACATTTCCTAAGAATATACTCTTTTCTATTGACCAATACTGTTATAATAACACAGTTAACAACGAAACACATTTGAAGTGACTAATAACACGTTTTGTTATACGAAAGTTTTTTAGTTTAAAATCAAAATTACTATATTAATATTAAAACTCAGAAGAATATGACAACGTAGTAAAATTTAAACAACATCTATTTGTTTAAATAACACTTTTATTCTGGTATTTCATAGATTTCTTATGTCTTACATGCAAGACATAGCGTTTTACATTAAAACCACTTGCTAATAGTATGAATTTCGTTTTCACAGCATTCCTATATATCCACGTTAACCAGTAATGGTAAAAAAGTATTTTAATAATATCATTGTGGACTTTCGTTCAATATATTTATTGTAAGAATGCCTTGAGAAAATAAATATAGAACAGATATTCATTTTTAGTACCTTTTTTATACTTGTCTCGTATTTAATGTAGAATTTAATTACGAACACATCAAAAAATGGACCCTGAATGTAAGGATCACAGAAAAGAATATTCTAGTACTTCTTACAACAAAAAGTCAAGTTTTACTGTATTTCTTAATTACTCATAGTAGTATTGATAAGTATATAATAACGTTGTTATTTTCAGTAAACATAGGTTTTTTATTGCCATGTGGTATCCATTTTTAGCGAATAATATGAATTGTCAATTTATGTCAATAATAAAATATTGAAAACATCTGTGATAACTGTCGAAAAAGATTCCTTATATGTCCGTAAGACTACACAAGTGTAAGTATAAATGAATTGCTTTTTACACTATGATGAATAGTTTTTAAATTACGATAAAAAAATTATGGTTATAATAATATTAGAGGTGAGGATTATTATTAAACTTAAAATAAAAATGTTAAGCAATTTAAAATTTATAGTGATTAACTAGAGTGAAGGAAAACCGACACATAGTTAGATCAGAAACAGAAACCTAAGAACAATTTTGAATAGTACTTTACATTACTAAGGCATGAAGTACAAACATAAGTGCCCGAAGGGCGCAATTGCTGTACGTTAGTGCCCAAGTCACGTACAATGTTTTTCTTACCAACGGCGCAAAGGGCAATTTTGCTCCTGTGGAAACACTTTTAGCCCAGTAAATTACGTTCGGCTTTAGGGCAGAAAAGTCCATTGCGCCCGGAGGGTACCAAAAACTATTCTGCCTGTGCGTCCAAAGCGATTACGAGGGCGCAAAGTGTGACCTGAAGGTGTAAAGCAGCAGTGGCACTTTAGGCCTAAGGTAAGAAAATGAATTGCATGTATCCTTAAACTATGAAGAGGGTAGCAAAAAAATGACTATCAGAGTATGCAAATGTATGCAACATTTCTGTGTGATAATATTTTTGTAACTGATGACGCAAAATCTTTGTCCTTGGGCGATAGAGTGAGCGATTTGCCACATAAGCATTATAGCACCATAGCTACCTTACGTCCCTCGGGCCCTGTTTCGCAGATCCTTTGAGCCGCCAAATAGCACTGGAGACAATGTCTCTTATTTATCAAAAACTACTATTCCTTCGTTAAGCAGTTTTTTAAACCTTGGGATGTTTACTACGCCTTTAGAAGGAAAAATAGAGTTTGCACCTGTTGTGCATTTACCAAGGGCAAGCGCAAGGAGTCCCTTAGATGTGGATTTGCAGGTCCCTCGTGCTTGCCTAGTGCTTGCCCCAGCGACATCTGTCACCAAGTACGAGAACTACCTTCTCTGCACGTAGGTGAACTGTTCAGTCTTGGTAATTTAATGGGCACAAAATACCAACTAAACCTTATACTCGTGGACAGAAAATAATTACTGATTTGTTAGTACGTATCAGTGCCCTCCGGTTAATTTGGAAATTCAAAGTGATCAGTGATCCATTGGGGGCGAAATGTGAGGAAATAAATAAATACAAGTAGAGTGTATTTAAATTTTGCATAATAATGCATAATTTACTGTCTGATCAATCGACGTATAAAATTATCCCAAAAAACCCATTAAACTCTCTACAAAAGAGAATCTCTAACATTTTAAAGAATCTCAACTCTAACGGCTTCCTTTCTAGAACATACCATCCCAACGCTTTGTCGCTCATGGATACAACTGTAGCTAAATGTTATGGCTTGCCGAAAATTCACAACGTCGATGCTCTTTTACGTCCTATCGTCTCTCTTGTCAATAGCTCTACATATTTTCTAGCAAAAGTAATTTACGATGAACTCAAGAAGTCAGTCAACGTTCCAATATCACACATTACTAATAGCTTTGAATTAAAAAAAAAACTAAAAAATATAAAACCCACTACTAATTATAGACTAATGTCTTTAGATGTCAGCTCCCTATTTACTTATATTCCTCTAAAGTTGGTACTACGGAGCATTGATCGACGTATTGTGACCATAATGAATAAATGTTGAATCCCGGTTGATGAAATTCGACAATGTACAGAATTTTTGTGCAATAATACTTTTTTTACTTTTGACAACATTTTTTATCAACAAATTTTCGGCATGCCAATGGGTTCTCCTATTTGACCTTTTTTTGCTGACCTTGTAATGGACGACCTGGAAAAGAATTGTCTCTCCATCTTAAAAAATAACTATAACATTATTCCATTTTTTTTTTTTCGATACGTAGATGATGTATTACTTTTTATTAATGTCGACTATATTGACCAAATTTTAAACATTTTTAATTCATATCATCCCAAACTACAATTTACTTATGAAATGGAGATTGACAAGAAACTCAACTTTTTAGACTCGACGATTATAAAAAAACTCAAATTATTTTAATTTTGACTGGTTTGAGAAACCTACTTCTTCCCGACGAATCTTAAATTATTTTTCTGGTCATCCAGTTTGCTACAAAAGAAATATTGTTTTTAATTTTGTTGATAGGGCGATCTTACTTGTTAGTACACGTTTTCACGGTGTGAATATTGCTAGGGTGGAAAACCTGTTTATAAAAAACAATTACCCTTTTAACTTCATTCATAAAAACGTGAAGGTCAGATTAAAAAGACACAAATATAGTAATCATAACAGAAGCACAACAAACACTTACCCTCTCTGCAAAATTGGCATACCATACATTGACAATAATTTTGAAAAAATTTCAACCATGTTAAAACCCTACAACATTCACACTTACCCTCTTATTAACAATAAACTGCAGCATATCGTCTGCTTAGGAAAAGATACAACGAATAAACATAAACAGACAAATGTTGTATATAAGTTTTATTGTAAAAATTGTCCTGCGTCATATGTGGGTGAAACAAAGCGAGCGGCGGAGGTCCGCATTAGTAAACATATGAAAATTAAAAACTCTGATTCCGTTGTTTGTGCACACCAAATTTATTTTGACCATTAATTCGATTTGGATAACTTCAAAATCCTTGACAAAGAATCCAATTACAAAAAAAGAGTTATTTCCGAAATGCTTTATATAAAACTCGACAAACACAACATCAATAGAAAGGAGGATGTGCTTTCCTTTAATAGAGCATACCTTCCTTCACTACGAAAGTTTAAATGTCCCGATCGAGTTCATCGCCCTTTACTGTCTACCTTTGCTGCTCCGCCTATATAAGCGCTGGCTTGTTGTTGTAATTTATTGTCAGTTGATAGCACGATAGGTGACGAGTAAGTCAACCAAACTTACGAATTCTCGCGTACCTACGGTAACAATTAACATCGAAATTTATTGTATTTTGTGTTTGAGCCTTCCAGATCACTCATTGTGTGTTTTTAATTTTAATTTTTTATCCTGATGAGGCTGACGCATATTGTCAGCGAAACGTTGCGCATTAATAAATCAACGCAAGAAAATTTAAATACACTTTACTTGTATTTATTTATTTTTTCACATTTTGCCCCCAACGGATCACTGATCACTTTGAATTTCCAGAAAACAATTACTTTTACTTTTAGACACATAGCTTCTCACTCACTAGCAGCCAAGGTGGCCCTGCAAGCCCAAAGTACTTCTACTACCTAATAAAACGTTTTTGGAATTTGAAAAGAATTATACTTAATTAATATTGTAATGAAGCTTTTTTGTACTTTGTATAACATAGAAAAAAAAATGAATAGTACTCTCCATACCTGGTGGTGCAGGACAAAACCTCAGCACGAAGGACTCCTTCTGCTTGCCCTGGTAGGAAACGAACAAGGAGCAAACTTCGTTTTTCTTATTGCTACCTTAGTAAATGTTGAAAGATAAAAAATACGCCCAAAATAAGGTACACTACCCAGTAGTTGGACACTTTTGACAAATTTTCTTTGCTCATTTATAAGAAACTAACAAAAAATGATGTTAAAAGAAACATTGCACTAATTATTTTAAACTTTTTTTTATTAATTAGAATAAAAAGTTAAAAATATCAGCTTAATAAACAAAGAAAAAATTAATATCAAAGAAAAATTATTAAGACCCAGTATATGGACAACAGTGTCCAGGTACTGGGACCAACGTGGGACTTTGGACCAGTAGTTAGATACTCCATGTAAATTAAATAAAAAAGAGGTTAGGGTGGATCTAATTTTACAATGCTTTTTGAAAAGTCTGTAATTCTCAAAAATTGTAATCTTTTCTACTACATGGTATAGTTTCAAGTCATTATTTAACTTTTTTTTAGTTTTTAACTGTAACATTAACATATTATATTCAGTAATAATCAATAACTTCAAGTATTTTTTACTGTCCAAGTACCAGGTAGAGTAAAAATCTAATGTTATCGAACGGAAGCTATTATTGAACAGAGTTATTTTTATTTTTCGATGTTTTTCACTCTGATAAACATCAACGAAATAGTAATAATATACATTTTGTAACATAACTTTAGTCATAAAATAACTTGAACTTTCTATACCTACCTATAAATTATAATTTTTACCAATTTTTTCCGTGTCCACGTACTAAGTACAGAAAGACTCCTATTTTATTAAGGGGATCTACTATTGGACAGCAAGCTTACGTCCTTGCATTTAAAACAAATTTTTTTATTTAAAACGAAAAAGACTTTTAAAGATGATTTTTTTATCAGGCATTATTATGCTTGAATATATTATAAATAAATTCGTCTTTTCTATTCGAAAACGTCTTTTATTCGAAAATATTAATTATGTCGGACTTTTTAACTAATGGTGCTATTTTTATTTTTGTTTAACTACTAGTTACTTTACCTTAGGAAAAAAAATATTTTATTACATGTTTTAAAAATATAATTGTTTATCTCAAAACCATGCAATCTCTGTTGAACGGCACATACGAGCTTATTTAATCCCAGAGGTTATTTATTACAGTTTATCAGTATTTTTAAACATACCATTACTTACAAAGGACAAAACTACTATTATGTCACAATCATGTTTCTCATATTAATCGGTGAAAAAAATTAGTGATTTTTTGACGATAATATTTTAATTCATACGTAGTAATTGTATCTTGTATTTTAAATGCATCTTATCTGATACTAATATTAACTTAAATAAGATTTTCCTAACTCTTTCAAATTTTCTAGTGAAGCAAATAACCACTTAATAAATAATTAATATGTTATGATGTCATTTTTTAAAATATCGTGAATTAAGCTGTATGAAGTTAAATAATATAATACAATTTTTGGTACTTACATCAGTGTATCTGCAGAGAGTATTTAATTATGGACTATGCTAGAAGAGTGTTAAGGTATTAATCAACTACATGGCATAAGTGCATGAGTAATGTAAGTTATTATTTATTGTTTTCCAATATCTAATTGAAAATATTGTCTTAGACCTCGCCAAATTGCTTATATTGTTAGTTTCTAAGAAATTTTATATGATGTGGGTGCAGTTGTGTTGTTGATTTTTGTAACATTGAATGTTCAATACATACTTATACTTGATATTAAAGAATGTCCTATCCTAGGCTGCACTAAATTGACCAATCTAATTTGTAATTAAAAGTGCTTAACTAGATATTTCATTAAAGCTAGATTAATTTATTTATTTGCTTTTGTAGATTATCCACTTGCATTGAAGACATAAGTAGTTTCTAAATTTAAGTAAAGCTTATTACTATAAAATGTTGTATACGTGTTAAAAAAATAAGGTGAATTTTCGAATTTTGCGGGCTACGTACATTCAAGCATCGATTTTTTTATTTTTTATATTGGTACACTAGTTTTTTATATAGGTTTACAGTTAAAGCTATACAGTATTTTTAGTTTAATTATAAGAAGCATAATAGCTTAGGAGTGTTTGATTGCTTGGTAATTTTCTTTTATACAAAAAAATGTAACAAAGAAACTGCACTAAATTTTGTGTTCAAAATAGAATCAAGGGCTCAAAAATACTTGAAGTATTGACTGTGGCATCTGCTAAAAGTACTCTGAGCCAAAAAAACATTTGCTATTGGTACATGCTTTTCACAGATGGTCGAGAAGATGTGAATGACGATGCTCGTCCGAGACGCCCTAGCACATCAACAACCGATGAAAATGTTGAGAAAGTGAAAAAAATTGTTATGGGAAATCATCCACTCTTAATTAAAGACATCCTTAAGAATGTTGGCATATCGGTTAGCTCATGCCATGCAATTATTTTAGATATTAGCGGAAGAACAATTTATGGCTTTTGCATTACGATAATGCACCTGTTCACTCGTCATTGTTTGTTTGTAATTTTTTGGCCAAAAACAACACCGTAACAATGCTTCAGTCACCATATTCACCAGATTTGGCTACCTGCAATTTTTTTCTATTTTCAA